TTTCTGGAGACAGATGCTCAGACACTGACAGTGTAGCTCTCCATCAGGGAGAAGACAGATGACATTATAGCCTCTACCAGAGCCGCCACCTCAGTTTCTTGATGCACACTGTAATTTAGGTCAACATCACTTTGACACGTGTTATAACCATTTCAGCCTTGCTCTTCAGAGCAGCGCAAAACTCAGAAGCCTGCAGGCGGTCAAAGGCATTCTCTAGTAGGGAAAGAGTGGGGAGGCAGAGGAAGCAGCTAGGAAACAAAGCTGAGCTTAGGTACGGCCTTGAGCAGGTCATTTGCATTTGTTCGCATCTCAAAGATTCAGGAAAGGCCAGGAAGCTCAGAGCTCAGGACAGAGGAGAGCACCCCAGTGAAGTGGGGACACCTGGAAGAAAAGCCATTTACCTTGGGGAGGATGAGGCAAAGGGCTGCGGCAGTGAGACAAGGGTAGAATAACAGCAAAACCACAACAACAATAAACTTTTCAAAGCAAACTTTAAATTGCACAAGTCAATTTTCCACTTCTGCAGTTACCATCCAACAGGGTGTAGGAAACTGCAAAGGTGGCATAAATCTCCTCTAAACTACTTCTCATCTAGTGCAGCTGAAATATTAGTTCTCTCTTAACCTAACAGAAGCCAGCCCCACCTGTTTAATCAGGCAGGCAGTTCTTCACCAGCATGAAAGCTCTTTAGATCTACCAAAAAATAATCATCCTTGCAAACAGTAAATTGCTATTATGCTATTATCAGGGCTATGGCTTGCCAGGATACAAACACTATTTCAATATAAGGATGAAAAATGAAATAAAGACACCTAATGATATGTCATCCATACAAACTAAAACGGTCTGTATAAAAGCCACCACTGCATTATCAATACACTTTATCGCCAAGTTGCCTCAGTTACTAAACAAATGTATGTGAGTTCTTGCATTCCTCCTTATCACTAGGAGAGGAATTCTGTTGAAATTATTCAGAATCTTATTAATTATTCAGAATTGTATACATATGCATTGTGTGGATTATACATGTTATAAATGAGGTCTCAACTCAATCTGAGTTTTGTAATATTTATAAACCAAATATTTCTAAAAGGTATAAAAGGCAAGTAAACAGTGCTGGGTGTGCGGGGAGACTACGCTCCACCAACACGCACACACAAACATCAAACATTCTAAATATATAGAACGTGGCTTTTACATACTAAACGCAAGTATGCCTATACATACGTACAATCAGGAAAGGTAACAAACAATCCTCCAAGTTCCAAGCCACGTTCTGTATATTTAGAATGTTTGATGTTTGTGTGTGCGTGTTGGTGGAGCATAGTCTCCCCGCACACCCAGCACTGTTTACTTGCCTTTTATACCTTTTAGAAATATTTGGTTTATAAATATTACAAAACTCAGATTGAGTTGAGACCTCATTTATAACAATTACTCAGAGAGCCTGAAATTCAGGTACACAGTTATCCCTGGGTTTGTACAGAGTGTCAAAGAGAAATACACACTTTGAGCCCAGCAGTGTTTGGCTGCACAACCATTAGAGAAGTTTCTTTACCAGATGTGGTTTGTTTAACTTTCTGTGGGATACCCCCCTCCCCCTCATGGAATAAACAAGGTGGCAGCCCATTAAGCTTGCACAGTCTCATCACTGCTCCAAGGAGGGAAACAGGGAGAGCACCGTGGGTGTCCAGCATGCCCAGCACTCTGTTTCCTGCACAGGTGCCTCCTGGCCAGGACAGGTGAAGCTGAGTCCCCAAGACCCAAGTTAAGAGCAACTGCATGTGGAACAGCTCCAGAAGACCCAGGGCGAGGGGGTGAAGAAGAAGGGTTTGGAGATGCCACTTCCACACCTCCCTCTTGCTTCTCTGCACAGGCCTGCTCTCCGTGCCTGTAGGAAGCACCCGCAGGCAAGGCCGTGGAGCGAAGCTTCCCTGAGACCGCTGGAGGGGGCCAGGAGGCTCAGCACCCCTAGCACCACTTTGTAACAACAAGGTGGTCAACAGGACTGGCAGAGCAGGCAAGAGAACAGGTAGCGACAAGTGACCACTGGTCTGAGCTCAGAGGAGCACCTTGCACAATTCAGGTGACACTTGTGCCTCTTCTTCCTGAGTGTGAATTGTCACCATTGTAATACACAATAAATGTGTATAACAATGGTGACAATTCACACTCAGGAAGAGTTCATTGTTTGTTCATTGTCTTTTGTTATATAAAAACAAGGAGTTTCGTTTCAGGAGCGGAGTTGCAAAAGCTCCCTGCAGAAGTAAGGAGCTGTATAATACTTGGCTAGACACTATGAAATTATTTTGCTTAATATAACAAAAAAGAGAACCCCCTCCCCTTCTCTCCTTCTGCATCTCAGTTGCCTCTTTTGTTCAAAGAGGTTGCTGCAAAGCTCATGTAACCATCTCCTGATAAGTTGCTAACCTAGTGTCTCAACATCCTGCCTTCCTGTCTCACGCTGGGCTACCATGACCAAATAATAAAAAAAGAAGTTGAACCACAACGCCGAGGAAGACTAAGGCCTTTATCTTCACGACCACCAGAGGGACAGAGACAACCCCCTAGCAACAGTGCGCGCAGTCGCAGAATATACCAGGATGTGCTGCGTAATCCTGAAATCACCAAGATATAAAAAGGGACCCTGGCGGGGGTGAGGTGTGTGCCGTTGGTGGAGCTGAGACTCCCCGGCCGCCCAGCGCTGTTTTGCTTGCTGTTGCTTACTCAATAAATTCCTTTCTATTCTTAATGCAATGCTCTCTGAAAATTAATTAAGGAGGTAACTTATAACAACCATGTCCTCCCTCATGTAAGCAAACCAACAGCAAACAGGAAACAAATTGCCTGTGGCCATCAGAAAGACAAGAGCCCGGCACATGTCCTATTGTACAAGGCTTGCACAGTTTTCCACAAATGCCTGGTCCAACAGCAAAGCGGCCAGGCACTTCAACAGGCTGCCTGCAGAGAGACTGACACCACTGTGCTTCCAAGGGCAGGGTGGGCTGGCAAACTCCCAGCTTGGTGCACCCCGTCCTGCTGCCAGGCCAACCCACACACCCTGATCTGCCTCCAAACAGCAGCCGTGCAGCCAATGTTTTGCTTCTTCCTGGTTCACACACAGAGCAGGAAAAGGGGAATGGTGTGAGTCTTAAGTGACCAGAAGCACCTGTGCTCCGTAATGCCCACACAAGGAGCAGCTTGCTCCTCTTCTTTTCTGGTGCTCTTCATTCAGCTTCTGTCTTCAAGACAAAGCAAATATCGCCCCAGCTTTCAGCAAAGAGCTTGAAAAGTCAGTTGTCACCATAACATTGCTGCACTCAGCTTCTCTTACAAATATTTTTGAGAAAAATCTTTAATGGGCTTAAGTAAAGCATGCAAAACAGGAGAGCTTTATCCAGAAGATGGTAAACATTTCAGATTTTAGCTACAATTAGTACGCACACATTGTGAAGCCCAAGGACCCACCCAGCAAGCCCTAGAAATTGCAGCTGCCCTACAGACCCTCTTCGCTGCCAGCAGAAAAAATGTGCACGTGCCAAAAATCTCTTTCAAAATCAGAAATCCACAATCTGCAATTTTAAGGAAAAACTACTGCAGAAGACATTTCTTCAGCTGTTCCCATTAGATCTCAAGTACGTTTCAAACGTTTCGAGCTGTACACAAGCCCCAGGACGCACCGATCACCCAGTATTTCCTGGTCTGTAAGAACGGAGCCCTGAAACTTGCACTCGAGCAGAAAACCTCAGACGAAGTGTCTCTGCTGCCGCCTGGTGCCCCCAGCATGCCTGGAGAGCCGAGAGCTGTGCTCGGCTGCCGGGACACAGCTGGACCACAGCAGCTGCCTTCCACTGAAAAATTTAAAGACTATTGGCAAAATTAAAGCCCAGAAGGCATAAAAGCTAGTATAAATTTAGATAAGCTAGATTTTACCTTGTAGGTCAATACAATACGGTTGGTTTTACAAAGAGCACTGATTTACTGTGGAAGCTTTTAGGAAGATTCCACAAGAAAGAATTGGCACAAACATACATCAGCATCACAGCCACCAGTTGCACTGGAATTATCAAAGCAAACAAAAGCACACACACTCAATAATCAGGCTTTAAGAGAGACTGTATAAACTTACATGGCTGATTAGAAAAACCAAACATCTAATTCTACCTGAGAAGATTGAGGGTTAACAAGACCATATGAGCAAGACTTTTCCTTGCTGGTCAGCCAGCCGTATAAAATAACATTACTGAACATGGGACAAAACATGGCTGTAAGGACTTACCAGGTTAAGCAGAGGATTACACACTCATCCTGTGAGCGCTTCATATATGCACCCACTCCAGCAGATACCCCAAGAGCAAGGGAAACACTTCCCCAACTCCATCCTCTCAGCATTCCCATGTTTGCAGGCACATTCCCAGCAAATGCAGTCTACCTTCACCCTGATGCCTCTCACCTACAGCCCCTACCTGACAACCACCACCCCCACACTTAACCTGAATCCCCAGCTGCTGCTCCCTCATTCCTTATTTAAAGCCACTTTCCTCACTGGATTGGTCAACCTGCAGGCAAGAAAGGCCTGCAGGTTGACCTAAGGTTCTAAGGTTCCTAAGGTTGGCCTAAGGTTCTCTGTGGCCAGGTGCATCCCATCTCTCATCAGCCTTCCAAAAGGGCTCTGCAGGGGAAAAAGCCCAATCACTGTAATTGACACCAGCTAGCACTGAAACCAGGCCCAGGCCCCTCGCTGGGCAGGGTCAGGGGAAACCACCTGGGCTCTCCTGCCCTCGATCACCACCCAGGGCCACATGGGACCCTCCTACACAACCTTTCTGTACCTCTTCTGGACATGAACAAGAGTGTTTTCTATTGTACTAATGATTTTGTTTTTAATTTAAAAAAAAAAAAAAAAAAAAAAAAGACCCCCCCCAAACTTTATGAAAGAGAAATCTTATGCTCATTGCTTTTTCCCTCTGAAGTACAAAAAGTAACACTGAGAAGCCTGCTTATGCTGTTTCTACTTTATTTCCAATAGATAATTTACTATAAAAAACATTGCCAATATATTTATCTAAATATCTCTATTATGTAATACATGTATATACATTTTTTTGTACTGATTTCTATAGAATTGTCTTTCAGGGGTTAGTTTCAGTATAGTTAGTTTCTATTATTGTCCATCCTGAATAGTTTTCTAGGTTAAAAACTGAACTTGGTAGGAAGTTGAACAGATTGCAATCAATAGTATATACTGTTTTTAACTATCCACCGGATCGTACATATTTTACAGAACTACTGGAAAAAAAAAATCAAATGAAGAATGAACTGAAGATATCTTTCCCATTAAATAAAGTAGATCTGTTGTCTTGGCAAGTTAATATCCCCGTGCAGTACTGTGATGTTTTCTAGGAGCCTGAGAAAACAGTCAGTCTTGTCCTAAAAACAAAGCTGCTGTCCACTTACAGTTCTCAGACTGCTGCAGATTCCTGTACTTGCCCTCAGGATGCTGCCTTTCAGTTGCTAGAAATAAGACACGATAAAAGAGAATCACCTCCAATACAGTATTTTTTTTTCAAAACAAGAATTTCTCTGAAGTCAAAAATAGTAAAACCCTTCAAGTACATTTATTCATCACCAATGAAAGTACTGTACAACACCCAAGAAAAGGAACAGGGGAAGGCAACGTATTAAGGCTGGCTTTCATCAATGTCTTTGTCTGGATCTATTTCTGCAGCTTCACTCTCCTGTTGCTGTTTCTTCCAGAGTTTAGCCATTGCAAGTAGTTTGAGATTAGGCTGATTGGCAGTATCTTCTGGGAAAATATAATCATAATATTCCTCCCAGCCAGCATCAGACTAGAGAAAAAAAAAAACACAAAGCAGGTTTAATTTGCATGTTAACGTTAGCTATTAGAAGATGCTTCTAATAAGCATAAAAATGAAATAAAATTAAAATTAATGTTTGTTACAACATCCACAGCAGCTAAAACTAGTAAGCTGAATTGGTGTGAGACCATACTACTTCTGCTGTGCATAACAACCAAGCAGATGTGATTAACAGCTTACCTAGTTTCTCCAAGTTACTAAACAAACACTGTCAGTATAGTACTACCTACAGCTAGTTTCATTTGCCTAGCCTGCTGAAGAGCAAGGAGCTTAACAGTCTGTATTTCACGCCAATGGTTGTCTTCAGTCAGAGCAGTAATACTGATACGCAGTTAGAGCACTCATCACTGTTGAATTTGTCAGGAATATCAGATCCCACCATAAAGCCAAAGCTTCAGAAAAAGTACTTGCATTATGTTTTCTCTTACCCCATCTTCAGCCTGCAGTTTTCTCCTCTTCTTTATTTTTTCAGGCATAAGTTTTTCTATTCTCTCTTTGGTGGTATCAGTTCCAAATTCCTCTTCAAAGTTCTTCCAGGATTCCAGAAGCATGACTCTCTCCTCTTTCTCCTCACAGTTTCGCATTGCCTTATTAGCCTCTTCATAAATCTGCCGACATCTTGACAAACTCTCTTCCCTTCCAGCGGATAGTTCAAACTGTGCAAAGCTGATCCATACCTGTGGCACAAAAAAAAATAAAAAATCAAGGTGAAACATCCATCCTAAAGTCTTACAAAAATGACAGGTTAAATGATAGTTTAAGAGAAAACAAAGCAACTAAAAAATGAAATATCAATGCAATTCTAAAGTACTTTTGTTTTTTATAAGCAGATACCCAGAAATGTCATGTTTGTTTCGTGTGTAATATTTACCTCATTTTGACAAGACAGAATATTCACATGAGCAACTTTGACAAATCTCTTGCGCTTATTTTCAGGTCATGATAAATCTGTTTGAATTCAGTCAAATGACAGCACCAAATTACACCATGAAAATCACAACTAATTTTTCTTTCCAATGTTTTAAAATCTAAAATTCCAAAGCAATTCAGCAGGAAGAGGGCTGCTTTCCAAAGCTTCTACAAAGCCTTCTTTCATATAAGATATTCCTTTTGTTATAGCAAAGTTAAAAATTTCTTTTCCCTTTTAATACCACTGGCATGATACCGCACTTAGATTCTCAGTCAATTTCAGACAGCCAGGTAACCAAAGCAGTCAAGGCTTTCCATCAACCATGGACTGAATTCAAGCCCAATTCTGTACTCTGAGTACCTTAACATGCTGTGTCCGTTGAAGTAATCTGCGGTAAAGATTTCTTGTTTTCTCATACTCCTCTTGCTCAATTTCAAAGTCAATGTAGGATTTCCAAAGAACCTGCAAAACAGAAGTCTCTCCTTACATTCACAGCCTCTTCAAACAACCCTGTATCTAATACTGAGATAATGCCCCCAAAAAAAGTTTTAAGGGAGGAGCATGGATAAACGTAAACATTGTAAAAAATGAATTTCAGAGACCTGAGTATTAATTCACCGTACTAGCTAAGATTAAGACTAAGTAATATGAAATCTTGCCCACATAACCCATTTAGCTTACTCCTGTAAGCATGTTTCTCTCCATTCTTTGTCATGGGTTTTATAGTCCCGTGGTACCCTGCTAAGAAACAGATGCTACATTAATGAGACACAGGCTAGGCTGCTACGGAAAGCGGTTCTGTTCAAGCTGTTAGATCATTTACATTTTAATTAGACACACTATGTAACAAATACCTTAAAATTACTCAAATGTTAAGTTCATCTTCCCCCTTACCTCTGGCATGTCTAGCCGGGGCTGGCCAATAGCCAATTCATATATTGCACGGGCTCTGTCAATATCACCAAGGATGGTCTCCAGTTCAGCAAATTTAATCCATGATGTGCAGTTTTCTGGTGCAAATTCCAGGAATTTTTCATACAGCTTTCGGCAACGATCAAATTCTCGCAGTTGTAACTCCAGTTCAATATAACCCTTAAAAAGTTTGTTTTTTGGACATTTACCTATGGATGTTCCCTGTTAAGAAGCCAAAAGCCAAAAAACACTTACAGATACTGCCAAGGAAGAGAAAAAAAAAATCCTGCTGTTTCTAAACAACATTTTACTGTTTGGTATTTAACTGAAATGCATTTTTGAGCGGAGTCTGTTTTAAGACACTGGTCAGGGTTAATATGAAATCTAATCAATGTCTGCAAAATGAGTTTGCATACGTAAAACATCAACAAAAACCTGAAAACAGAAAACCTTCTGCCTGGTTACACTTTTAAATAACACCAACTTGCCATGAAGTATTAATTGAATCTCACCATGGCTCAACAAATACTCAACAAATGAACACTTCATCTTGCATCAAAAGCTGAAGAAAGCGCAGTACTAGTCTGTGCCAGTCTTCCAGGTAAGCAGTTCTGAAGTACCTTATAAAACAAATTATACCAAGAGAAACCATCTCCTGGACCACCAGTACTATGCATCATTAGATAGAGAATTGTCCACATTACCTGACTGCTGACTTACAGTAATGGATAGATGGAGAAAGTTTAAACCAAATTTGTTTTGATATCCTTCAGCATCTGAACAAAACTGTCTGTCATCAGCCACAAGTACCAAGCCATGAGAAAGCAGTTTCTGATTTTTAATTTGGGAATCTTTTGAAGCAATAGTTAAGACTGACCACACCTATGACATGTATATAGTGAGCTTCACTCTGACACATTTCTGAAGACAAAGATTATTTATTAGGCACTGAAACCTCTGCTCCTTCCAGCTGGTATGAATAAGTAATTTGAGACCAAATTCCCTTAATGCAATTCTCCTGCACAGCTTCACTACACATTCCCTATATTGGTACTTAACAAAAATGGAGGAAATCAAAACCCTGAAATACTGATTTGGTCACCATTAGGTCTCTCCAGCTCTAAATATGCATTTTCTGTTTCAAAATATGCTTGGTTCTTCCCCATGGCCCACCCCATTACTATTTCTTAAGCAGCATAGGATTCAGCCTGTCCTGGCTCTTGGCTCCAAGTCCCAGCATTTCTCAAACCCTAAGAAAACCAAGAATCCATGCAACATCTGCAGCCAGTGAAAAATAAGGCATAACAATGTACTGCCTGCATGCTGACAAGAGCTTCAGGATCAGGAGTTGAATCTGTTCTTCTGCATGGTGACAGTGTGAGACCTAGATACTCACCTCAGGACAGAAGCAAGGCTTCTTGCCAAAGAGGTGGTTCAAAATCAACTTACTGCAAAAGCAAGGTTAACTGCATGCCAAATATAGGTCCAATCCCCCCCAAAAAAAGATTATGGCTGCACCAACAAAAGCTGGTTTGAAAGATAAGCAAAGTAACCTACTACAAAAAGGTCTGTCAAACTAAACAACAGAAATTAAACAATAGGAAGAAGAGAAGTCTAAAAGAAACTGAGGAAACTGTGGTTTTCCAGAGAGACCAAAAGATCCTTTCCAGAATATACTAAAACTACTATGCCTAAAACAAAAGGTCTGGAAGCAGGGTGCTGATTGGTGACTAAGGTAATTTGGAAGCATCTTAAACTAAACTAGAACAGAAGTGTGCTTCAAGACAAATGGTTGTCCTCTCCTGCAGGGAGACATTAACAGCCTCACAGTGGACTTAATCCCTCTGCTCTGTGTTGTTGTGTTTTTTTGTTGTTTTTTGTTTTTTTGTTTGTTTGTTTGTTTTTTCTGGCCAGGAGCAGTAGTCCAGCTCAACAGAAAGTTTTATTAGCACATTAGAGGGTAAACTTGATCCAGTGTCAGCTACAGAAGGCCATTCACATTTATAATCTTATCATCGCTGTGACATGTGTACAATCAATTTCCTCTTTAAAGTCAAGCCACCTCAACTGCTACCATTACTATCTTTCTCTCCAAATTCCTAACAGTCACCCAAATTATTGAAAGTATCTGAACCAAGGGGAAAGCAAGTTTTTCATTTTAAAAGGTTTTCCTGCCAAAATGCATTCCATCATTCTCTGACATGGTAGTGAATACTGAACAGAAGCTCTTGAGCTGCTCCGAAGTCCCCATGATTGCTTCTGTCAGCAACCAAGTAGCTGGGACTTAATCTATTACGCAAGTCTGAATTTCTGAGAGTCAAAAAACTCCTACTGATTTGGCTTTTTAAACAGCCATTGTTAGTATAAGTATCGTTCAAACAAATCACCAGCGGTTAAAAATTTTCAAGTGTACTAAGCTTATTTGGGTACTCTCGTGTTAAGATGTATGTTTTGTCAGCTGAAACAGGAAAGATGCATTCATTTCAGTCCGTGGCTAATTCATCGTATCAAGCTATGCTTCGTTTTAAATCATATATGACAGTAAATACTGGTCCCTGCAGATTTTCTAGAATGCTTTATTTAAGTGGATTAGTAGTGATTTATAAAGGACAATTTAAGATCTTTTAATGTCATTCCGTTGTTACTATTAGTTAGTAAAGTCAATTATGGAATTAACCAAAGCTTACCAAAGCTCTTCTGGCAAGTGGAAGATTTTTCTGTCGTATTTCAAATTGTGCATACAGCAGCCATATTTTGGCAAATGTAAACTGAAAGAAAAACAACAATGTGATGCCTGGGTTGGAAGCTTAGCAATTAATTCTGCACGTGTTCACTAAAAATCATCTCTGTCTACATACAGAGACACATTATTGCTACTGCAGTTAGTTGCATTTGACTTCTGTGTTTTCCTGCTGAAGGAGATGAGAGACTGCAACCCAAAACAAACTCTCTACACCAAGACAGTTTATTCTACCATGGATGGAAAGTAAAAATAGCCAGGACAGAAGTCTCTCCAAGGAAAGAAAACACTAAATCAATCAACTGATTGGTAAAACATCAGCTATTACTGAAAAAAAAATAAATAATAATTGCTAATCAACTCTTAATTATTATAGATTAACACTAATCTATCTAGTTGATACTCATATGATGTGACGAATGACAGATTAGAGAAGGACTAAGTACAGGGACTAAGATTTCTTGACATTCCAAAGCAACATATTGGTTAATTGTTTTCAAGGTTTGGCCATGCAGATATTTTAGTTAAAATTCACTAGGAAAAAAAAAAAAGAAAAGAAAAAACAACACCAAAAAGTCATAAAGTCAGGTATTGAAGACTGTAATGGAGGATATAAACTCTAACGATGGTGTATGAAATGTACCTCCCTCAGCTGGGACCAGGTAAACAATTAGAAATAGTTACTACAAAAGGTGGTAACTCTACATAAAATTGACTAACAGGTATTTTGCAAAGACTGCAAGCAAACAGGTTGAGAACAGGTATGAAAGAACTAACTTGAGGAGTAAATTAAGGGAAAAGAAGAGATAGAACAATCTTCTACCATTTAACAGCACTGAAGTGTCCACTAAGTATGTGATATTTCAGCTTTTTATAGCACTCTTGATCACTTAAAAATACTGATGAAACATTAATTTCATTCTGTACAAGGAAATCTGACATCAGTGTGTAGCCTACTGTTTCCCAGTGATGATGCAAGTTATAGACAACTAATGCCTTAAATGGGGGGGGAGGGCACACACTATGGATTTTGGAGAATTAACTTTATGAAACTGCAAGGGAGTCTACTTAAAACCATGTATAAATACCTCCCTTGTTCTTGAGCAGTGTCTTCAGAAATGTGCTAGTAGCATTTTGGAGGGGCTTATGCACCTCAGCCTTGCTTTCTACACTATGCCTGATTAAAGACAAATTAAGGGACTTCTGAACCAGAAAACAGTGGAAAGAAGTAAGGGCAGAAAACTAAAGGATCTCAGTCCTAAGGTTTTTAATCCAAGACTTTATATGAACTTGAAGGAGCCATACCTTCTTGTGGGGAATGAGCTCAATACATGCCTGATAAACTTGTCTGGTTCGCTCTGGATCCTGTAAGAACAGGCAAAACTAAATATTTCATTCACTACTCAGATTATGCTACAGTAATTACACAGTTTTATACCACACAGTGATTACCAAATGCAGAACAGAGTATTTTTAAGCACAGGAGTTTAGAATCACGTATACTTAAAAATATATATTTTTCTACATATCTGTATGCACAATTTAAAAGATGGTAACTTCTGAGTGTCAGTAAGTCTTTTGAAACAAGGTTCCTCATTAAGAATGATACAATCATACCAACAGTGTTGCATTTAGGGTGAAAAAAAATATCTTTTTTCCTTTTACCAGACACAGAACTATGATTTTATGAAATAAAGCACAGCTATATTACATGACTGATAACAAGATAACTTGACTGATATACAAAGTCTTGAAAAGCCACTGTAGCGAGAATTTATCTGATTCACAGAACTTCACAAATAGTTTTGTCATACTACTTGTAATACCACTGTATTTGTATATTAATGTTATAACTGATAAACAAAAGAAATAGTTAGTGAAGCTTAAATACTTGTCTCCCATGTAAGGGAGATGTTACACACAAATGCAAGTGTCTGTGTATAGAGGGAAAGATTTAAATAGCAAATATTGTAGCAAATGACACAAAACTTTTTTTTTTTGTATTAACGTATCTGTAGCTATTTAGTGTAAGGAAAATACCTGGGAAAGAAAGACTTAGAATTACTACTTGCCTTTGCTTCCAGCTCTTCATATAATGCATAGTTAATCCAAAGATAAATATATCTCTTCCAGTGTCTCTTCTCTTGAATTGGAGGAACGTTGGCAATGGCTCTTTCATACACTTCTCGGACAGTCTCTGCATCTGCATCGCTTTCAACTAACCTTAAGTAGTCAAACCATGCATCATAATTATGTGGATTTGCCTTTCAGAAAGATGGGAGCAGAGAAATGGGAAATAAATTTCAGTAACTGAAAATAACAAAATTTGTTCCTTTGCTTACAGTTTCTATGTAGGAATTTCTCTTTAAAAACTAATCACTGAAATATTAGCAAAAATTGTCAGTCTCCAGTATGCTAGAGCTAGAGGTTTTGAGGGGAGGAGCTTGGGGTTAAGGCTGGTGCAAGTGTCGTTATTTCTCTGTTTTTATTTTTACCTACAAACGTTCTTTGAGAAGGCAAACCCAAGTATGAGCAAAGGAAATGAGGAACTGTGCAGTATTGAATAATTTGGTGAATAGTAGATAGGTATGGCACATCAGTTTCCTTACAAAAAGGTGTTTCTGCACAAATGAGTAGACGTTACTGCATAACAGAAGTGAAGGAATAAGTTACAAGCTAATTTGTGAAGGGTAATGAGTTCTCAGTGCAATCAAAAACTTTGGCTCTACCATCTACACTAGACTGCAGAAATGAAAGAGCAGTGAACACAAGTATTGTTCTCTCTCCTGTGGATGGGATTCTGTCTCCACAAAGAACATTTCTTGGAATATTTTTTGGCTGAAGTACCACAGGTAAAATAATAAATATAATAAAAAGTCAGCCTTCCTGTTATGAGACATTTGCTTCCCTTAAGCAGCAGGTGGATGTATGATGAGCCCAGTGAATATCTGTAATACATACCTTCACCTCCTCTTCATACTGGAATCTTCTCTTGCTGACAATGATGTCTTCAATTCCCCTTCTATCTCCAAACTTCTTCTCAAAGATGGTGTAATTTTTGAAGAGATTTTGAGCGTCCTGTTTTGGAATTCTATCCAAGGCATATTTGTAGATCACCCTTACTCTTTCAAACTGAAAACATTAAACATCACTTGAATTGTATTTGGAATGCAAGTCTTCTACCCCATAATGTGTGTTTTAGTATGTCAATGACCTTTTAGCGGTATTTAATGTAAACGATTGTTTCAGTACAGGACTAACACAAATCTCCCTGAAGAGTAAGACTTGAAGGGAAAAAAAAAACACAAAACCTATAAATACCAAAATTTATCATCACTTAGTCATTTACAGGTTTGGAATATTTAAAATATTTTTAAGGGTCTGTGGTCTGGAGTTCAGAGAATGTTTTGAATTACTAAATAGCCTGAGCACTTCAATAAGTACATCTGGGAAGTACATGGCTTACATAATTCTTCTTTTTATCAAGCAGTCAGTTGACATAAAGTGTCAAACTTTTAAATCTGAGGACAGGTATTGGATTTAAAGGCACTGTTTTCAAGTTTGGTAGATTTTGCGCTTACTTTCTTAGAATATATTTACTCAATATCACTAAAAGGCAAACAGGAGCTAGGCAAAAAAATTGATTCCTTAACTCAGACTACAGTAAGACCTCCATGATTTTGGAAAAAAACAGAAGTATTGAAGTGATTGTTAAGCAGCCTGGAGTTTGATATTCAAGAAGAAATCTTGTGGGGATAGTATCAGCCTGATGTAAGGAAGTCTTACTTCTTTCTGGTTCTCCTCAAATTTTGCAAAAGCCACATACAAGTGCTCATCCATATGGTCTTCTCCAAAGAACTCCACTGCTCTCTCATATACTTTCCTTGCGTGAGCAAAGTAACAATGCTTCTCTTCAAAGCGAGCATACTTGATCCAGTTCTTCACATCAGGGTGAACAATAACAAGTAGAGCTATGTTAAAGAAACAGTAGCACTTGAATCAGACATCTCAAATTGCATTCTTCCCAATGACTACAAACTCATGGACTATATATGAAACAACTTCCACGGATGATATATACAAGGGACACAACTGGGAAGAATACAAAACAGCTCTGAGTATGCGAAGGCTTCATGTTCAGTACTGAGAACCTGAATCTTAAAAAATATAAAGAAGTCAGACAAGGGTCAGGGAAAAGGTTGAGGAGGAAACTGAAATAAATGACTACTACAAAAAAAGCCAGAAGTATGAGTGCTCCTACATATCCACTGTTGTGGCAGGATATGTCCATTCAATTAACTGAATTTGGAGGCAAAGCATGTGTGCAATACCAACTGCTGGATCTCAGCATGGTGTTTTACTCCAGCACACCCCCGTAAAAAGGAGCCTAGGGACATATCTAGAGACAGAATAGACAAGCAAGAAATGAAGAAGTCTAAACTTGGGTAGCAGTGACCACGCACTAAAAAGGATATATCTCTCATAAATGGTACGTGCCCTATCCACCTCCTTGTATCTCAGCTCGAAGTTAATATAGGAATGCCAGGCTTGCTCCTCTGGTTGCCACTCCATCCAACGTTCAAACACCTGACGAGATCCAGCAACATTCCCCAACATCTCTTCCATGTAAGTATATTTATACCTTGGAAAACAGGATCAAGTGTTTACAATCACTTTGTAAGTACATAAATTTCAATCATTTTTCAAGTGCTTAATACAAGCATCACTGTAACTTCTACACCTATTCCCCACTTGCACTCCACAAACACCTGTAGTGTTGTGATGGGCAGCATGCAGAAACATGAATATCCTTCTCTCCATACTCTTACCATTTGAAAAGTATACAACTATTCCAAAACTAAGCCTTTACCTCTGGCTAGCCTGAGGAACTGCAGAAAGAGAAGACAATGTACTTTTGCATGATGCCAGAACAAAACAAAAGAAAAGATCTCTTTGGGGGTAAAAGAAATGTTCCATTCTCTGTAAACGTACCAGAACTGGTTCACCCTAGGGAGGGTGGTAATGGCTCGATCCCAAATGTTCCGGGCATGATTAACCTGGCGGTTCTTCATTTCCATTTCTGCATATTTCAGCCAGAGTGTGACATTTCTGTAGTCTACATCTAGAGCACGCTCGTAAATGGAACGGGCTCTGGAAAGCAAAGCAAAGTTTAGTTGTGCATTTAACATGCCTCTAAGACAGTGGTTACCAATGTGTCTTAAAAGGTTTAACAGATCTACAGCTATATCATAATTACCTCTGTATTTCTTTTAGGCTTTCCTCCCATTGTGCGTACTTTATCCAGTTACTGATAACAGTTCTGTTTTTTCTTATGTTATCTTCAAAAGTCTGAGAAAAAAATTATTTCTGTAAGTAAAAAAAATTCTTCTGTGCAGACCAATCTTTTTATAAATGGCTTACAGATTATTATTACTGGAATGAACTCTAAATGTCTTGCATAGAATCACAGAATGGTTTGAGTTGGAAGAGAACTAAAAGATATCTATTTCCAACCCCTCACCATGACCAGGGACACCTTCCATCATTTTGAGGTTCCTCAAAGCCCCGTCCAACCTGGCCTTAAACACTTCCAGGGATGGGGCATCCACCATAGCTTCTCTGGGCAGCCTGTTCCAGTGCATCACCACCCTCACAGTAAAGAATTTCTTCTGAATATCTAATTTGAATCCATTTTTTTTAATTAAAGTCATTAATCTTTGTCTTATCTTTGCACTCCCTGACAGAGTGCCTCCCCAGCTCTCCAGCTAGCCCCTTTAGGCACTAGAAGGCCACTCTATGGTCTGCTTGGAGCCTTCTCTCCAAGCTGAACCACCCCAACTCCCTCAGCCTGGCTTCATAACAGAGGTGCTCCATCTTTGCACCCTCCTCTGGGCTCATTCTCATACTTCCATGTCCTTCTTGTGCTGGGGCCCCAGAGCTGAATGCAGGCTCCAGGTGGAGTCTCATGAAAGCAGAGCAGAGGGGGACAATCCCCTCCCTCACCCTATTGCCATGCTGCTTTTGGTACAGGCGCCTTTCTGGGCTGCAAGCACACGTTGCTGGCTCATGTTGGGCTTCTCATCAACACCCCCAGGTCCTTCTCCTCGGGGCTGCTCTCAATCCATTCTCCACCCAGCCTGTATTTGTGCTTGGGACTTCCCAAGCCCAGGTGCAGGACCTTGCACTTGGCCTTGTTGAAGCTCATGAGGTTCACCCAGGCCCACCTCTCAAGCCTGTACAGGTTCCTCTGAATAACATCCCTTCCCTCCAGTATGCCGACCGCACCACACAGCTTGATGTCATCAGCAAACTTGCTGAAGGTGCACTCAATTTCACTGTCCACATCACGCACAAAGATGTTAAACAGCGTCAGTCCGCAGTGCTCTTCCCCTTTCCACTAATGTCGTAACCCCATTGTAGAAGAACACCAGATTTGTCAAGCACAACCTGTCCTTAGTGAAGCCATGCTGGCTGTCACCAATCACCTCCTTATTCTCAACGAGGATCTGCCCCACAATCTTGCAGGCACAGAGGTGAGACTGACTGGCCTGTAGTTCCCTGGTTTTCCTCCTCTTTCCTTTTTAAAAATGGGGGGTTATGTTTCCCCTCTTCAGGTCAGTAGGAACTTCACCAGATGGCCACAGCTTCTCAAATATGATGGACAGCGGCTTAGCAACTACATCCCCCGGTTCCCTCAGGACCCACGGGGGATATGATATATATCACCAGGTCCAGCAGACTTATGCACCTTCATGTTCCTTAGGCTGTCTCAAACCTGATCTTGTCCTACTCTGTGTGGTTCTTCATTCTTCCGGTCCCTAACTTTACCTGCTGGGCCCAGTCCGTGTGGATGGACCTCTTGTCAGTGAAGACTGAGACAAAAAAGTCCTTGAATACCTCAGCCTTTGCCTCTATCCTGGGTGACCAGGTCTCCCGTTTCCTTAGGGAGAGCGCCTTAAGTTTCCCTAGTCTTCTGTTTATCACTGATGTACACGTACCTACAGAACCCCTTCTTGTTGCTCCTGATGTACATGTCCAAATTTAATTCTAACAGGACTTTGGCTTTCCTAAGTTAATCTCTGGCTGCTCAGACAAAGTCTTTGTAACCCTCCCAGGCCAGCTGTCCTTCCTTCCACCCTCTGTAGGCCTCCTTTTGCTGTCTGAATTTGGCCAGGAACTCCTTGTTCATCCATGCAGGTTTCCTAGCATTTTTGCACAACTTCCACTCTGTTGGGATGCATATCGCTCCTGAGCTGGGAGGAGGTGATCCTTAATATTAACCAGCTTTCTTAGCCCCTCTTCCCTTCAGGGCCATGTCCCTGGGTACACCACACCAAGCAGATCCCTGAAGAGGCCAAAATCTGCTCTCCTGAAGCCCAGAGTAGAGAGCTTTCTGTGCTCCCTCCATGTTGGCCTAAGGATCCTCAACTGCAACTTCCCACGGTCACTGCACCCAAGGCTGCTCTTGAGTTTCAGATTCCCCACCAGCCTCTCTGTTGGTGAGAATGAGGTCTAGCATAGCACCTCTCCTTGTTAGCTCCTCTATCACATGGAGAGGAAAGTTGTCAGCAATCCCAGGAACCTCCCAGATTGCCCACACCCTGCTGTATGACAGGTATCAGGGTGGTTGAAGTCTCCCCTGAGGACCACCCAGACTTGTGAACAAGAGGCTGCCTCTAGCTGCCTGTAGTGGACTTCATCTGCTTCATCTTCCTGCACAGTTGGCCTGTAGCAGACTCCCACTATATAATGTGGCCCATACCCACCCTCTCTGTAATCCTGACCCACCAGCCCTCCAGGCAGAGCTCCAGGTACTCCAGCTGCTCACTGACATTACCGGGCAACGTCCCCTCCTAACCTTCCCTGTCCGTCCTTCCTAAAGAGTCCATGTCCTTCCATCCCAGCACTCCAGGAGAGCCATCCCACCACTAATGCCAATGAGGTCACAGCCCTGCAGGTGCGTGTACATCTGTAACTCCCCTTCTTTACACCTCATTCTATTGCTTAGCACAGAGACACATTGAAGTTGGGCCCCTGATGAAGGTGATGTATGGGCTGGAACAGCTGGAATTCCTTTGTGCTGCTCTTCAGGTGCTCTCCTACATATCTCTACATCAACACAGATGTAGTGACAATACATACTCAACACAGCACTTCCTAAAAATTGCATAACAGAGCAGCTAAAAATGTTGATTGCTATACAGATAAGGACTAAACTCAAATTCCTGCAAGCTGAAATATTGATGGAACAGTAACTGAGAGCACTAAAACTGTGAACTTTTTTTCAGACTCCTGGTTGGCAATTCCAGTGGCAGCACTACCTGGTTAGATGGAATCTAGTCTCCGCGACCCTGAATACACTTGAATGCACCAGCTTAAGTTTATCTGCTTTGATTTGTATACAGCATCGTTTTACATTTTTCTTCAAAGCATGCTGCCTTGTGATTATTCCCTGGAATTAATATTTTGGCTTCAAATGTAATAAACGAATTTCACAGCTCAGTGTGGTGGCTTGTTATTGCAATTCATACAAGCAAATGAAAAAAACTAAAAAATTTGTCTCTAGTTGTTGACTATACAACTATACTTTTTAGAAATAAAAAGTAACTGATCAAGCCTATTTCAAAACATTTTAAGTTCATCAAAGATATGTTTACTTTGCTTTCTATTGATCCAGGACAGAAGTTATCCAACAAAAAAAAAAAAAACAACAACAAAGTTGTACGTAAGTTTGTACAAGCAAAGCAGTCCTTTTCAATAAAGAAAAAAAATATACCTCTAATTTCACATGCAAAATAGTTGTTTCAAGACAACTGTCAAGAAATAAGCATGATTAGTACAGAAATCAGTTCTAATGGGTGTCCCACGACGCTTTAGTTCTACAAAACAGAAGTACTGCTTGTGAACACTGTGGGTTTCAAACAGTTGACATGGAAATATCATCAGCACTACTACAACGATTGCTAACGTTACATCATACCAACTGCCATAATATTTGCGAAGAAGCCACATACAAATCACATATGCAACCCACCTTGCAATGCTTGAATCATACTGAACACAGACACATAACACGTATTACCAAATTTTGTTAAACATGTTTATACCTTAGTTTTTACACAATAGTTTTTCTAATAAAGTGCTATTTTTTAAAGCGTAAAAAATGCAGAAATAATAAATATGAATAACGTTGCGTTTAAATCAAGCATATTAAAAGTTTGGTGCTTTATAGATTTTTTTTTATTGTTTTTTAAAACTTATTTTTGCTTTTACCTTCCTTTTCCGAAGTTTGTAATCGTTTAGCTCTTCGACATCTGTGATCTTCTGCTGAGGAGGCGGTGGGAGAAGCTCGAGCTCTCTCTCCTTTGCCTCCCTTAGCAGCTGCTCCGCTGTGATCTGGACTTCGGCGGGTGCTTTGTTTTTCACCTACGAAGCGAAGGCCCGGTTAACGTTTCCCCCTTCCAACGCGCAACCGCAACCTCCCGTCACGACGAGGAGGGCCTCGGGCCTCAGTCGCCGAGCCGAGCCGGGGCCAGGGCCCAGCCAGGCCTCCCCTCGTGCCGTGCCCCGCCGTGCCCCGCTCCTTCTCCTTCTCCCCCCCCTCAGCCCGTCCCCAGCCGCCGCCCGGCCACCTTGGCCACTTTGGGGATCCGCTGCTTCCCGGCTGCCGTAGACGCCATCTTGTCGTCCCGTCCCGCGCCGCGCCGGCCCCGCCCCGCTCCCGCCCCCGCCCCCCGCGCAGCCCCGCCGCGCGCCGTTGCCGGGGTAACCGCGGCGCGTCCCGGCAGTGCCCGTCACGGCCGTTGGCCCCCTCAGGGCCCCCTCAGGGCCTCTCCGGGCGGTGCGGTTCGGTTCCTGTCTGTCAGGATCCCCTGGCTCTGTGGTGCCACCGACCCGAGCTGTGCTTTGGCCCAAGTGCACCGAGCTCTCCCGGAGCTGCCGTTAAGGCCAGGCCGTTCCCATCCCCAGCCCTGCAGGCTCGAGGCTGTTCAGTTTGGGGGGACCGGCGGTGGGCGCTGCTTGGACAGGTAGCGTGCAAATACAGATACGTGAATAAATGCAAAAGCGATTTGTGTCCTGTTAAGGACATTTCCTGTGTAGCATGTAGAAGGCATGCAGGAGGCGTTATTGTCTACGTTATTCCTGCATGTGCACTGTGAGCACACTGTTCACGTGTGTGTGCAGGCAGTAACCCTGTGTACAGAGAGAGGTTCACAGGAAACAGGCACTGAAGTCCATCTGATTGCACTTCTTCACAGCTGTTATAAAAATCCATTTAAAGTAACTGCATTGAACAACGGATTGCAGCAGGGAAGATCTGCTAGAACCAGCAATGTCTTCTTTCTTTGTGTTACAGTTTACAAGATGACTACAATAACATCTTCAAGAGGACATACAGAAGTAGTTAGTGCCCGAAGGACAGACTTACGTGATGTTTCTGATATTATCAGCCTCTTCAGCCATTTTACAGAAGATGTTTTTGGGAGGATTGATATCATGCATCTTTTGTAAGTGACACTGGTTTTGGAACTTTTATTTGGATATGACTGGCACAGACCTGCCTCTAGGACAGATTAAAGGGAAATGCCCGTCTTCATGTTTTTACACCCTTATAACAGCTTTTGTATCTATTCTCAAAATTTTTAGAATACAACCTGATTATTAAGTGTTAAACTTCCCTATGCTTTTCTTTGGTATAGTTTCTTCAAGTTCTGAATTAATTTGTTTTCACAGAGAAAAATCTAATCTTTCTCTGACACTCTGCAATGAGAAGAATGAGGTTATAGCCCATGCTGTCTTTCTGGACTATCCAAATTGGAATATCACTGATCAATCTGATTGGGAATCATTCTTACATAAAAACTACCTTAACAACAAATGCACTGTAAGTAAATTGTGTGATTTTAGTTGATTTTTTTTTTCACTTAAGTCTCAGGTACAAAAATATACATAGGCCTCTAAAATCTCTTTTAGGTAGATCTGAGGTGTTCAGGCCAAAGAAGGTGGTTATCTTTCTAAATCCTCAGGTGCTCAGAAGTTCATGAGTACCTGTGCTTTTGCCACTACTGTAAAATAAGTTAACTGTCATCCATTACAAGAGGCCATTAGGGAATGCAGGTTCTTTGCTAGACATGTCCAGAACACATCTAATGCACTGTGCTAGCACTGAGAGCAGTGTGAGCTATAGCTGCCACCAACATTTTTTGTTCAAATACCTGTCCAGCTCTGGTGCTATCTAACAGAGCATTTACCCAGGAGGTGGAGACCTTGCTGTAACATACTTCTTATTGTAGGGGAACTGAAATCCTGATTTCTCACCTTTTGGAATAAAGTTCTGCTCTTTTACACAATGGAATCCAAATTTAATGGCTTCAGAGAAGAGGAGCATACTCCTCTTCAGAAGATGCTGAATTACACTGAGTAGAGGACCGTGCTGGCATGAGTATCTTGATTCTGGAGAGAGTTTTTTCAGTGCTGGTGTAGATATGGCTGCACTCCATTCTGTGTGGTGCCAGTTTTCATAACGGCTCCTCAGTCAAGTTTGTAAATTACCCTTAGAAATTATGGACTAGAAATAAGTGCTTAGAAGTTTATTCAAATGCTGTCCCTCATTCAGTCCATCTAGGCACTGGATCATCCTGTTATTGTTGAGAAAAGACCAAAAACATTGACCATAAACACTTAAAAGTTAGGGAGCATGTGCCAGAATAAGGTATTGGTGATACTGAAATTACATCCCAACAGTGTGTTCATCAGTTTTCTGGTGCTGTTCTGGGTATTATTAAGCAACGGCTTGCAGAAAAACTGACAAATACACTGATTGTATTTAAAACTGCTGTGCGTGCCATTAAGAGAAACAAAATTATTACAGCCAAAGGGAGTATAGGGGGAAAAAGACCAACATGCAATTTTCTTGTAATCTGTTTTCTTTGTCACTTGAGTACACTTTGTGTATTGGCATATTGCAGACACAACCACTTCATTCACTGTGCAGCTGCTGCTGTTGGTTTATGCTGTGCTGTCAGTTCTGCAAGCTCTTCCTCAGGCTGTCTGCTTGACAGTATCTTGCAGTAAAGCTGCAGCTGACTTCAGTGTCAGGGGCATACAAAGAGAAAAGGAGACAAATAGACAAAGAGCTTTAGCATGTTAGGAATTACTGCTCAGAAGCAGGAGTAAAAGATGCTTCAGAACATTAACGAGGAGCAGAAGAACCCTTGCTTTGCTTAGAATGGAGATTATTTCCTAAAATCTAAACAGAATATTCAGTAGATCTTTCATGCTTCTGTACTGGTAAAGCAATTGTACATGTTCCAGTTGAGATTCTAAGTGAGATTCCTTTACTGTAAGGTGTTTTCCAGATTAACTGGAGGTAAACAGGAAAGACATCTTTTAGTCAGCTCTGTTTCTGGATATTTAAATGTGTCTGACAATGCAGTCATAAGATCTTGTATTTTTTCCTACATCTTTTAAGGGAAGAACAATTTTGGGAGCATGAGGAATGTGTAAGCTTTTTTTTTTTTTTTTCCCCCTGAAATCCTGGGAAGAAATAATGTCTTTATTAATTAAATGTTAAATGTTGTTAGTTGTTGTGGTTAAATGGAAATTTTATTAGTTAACACAAATAAGGAACAGAACAGTGTTACAAATAAAAAAGTGATATTTATAAAATCACAGTAACTAGCAGTAACTTACAGGAACTATAACATCACTAAGAGTAAGTTGGAGTATGAATTAAATTTAAAAATATTACATCAGCACAAATCATAATATAAAAAATGTCCTTTATTCATATAGCTTTACCCACACATGCCTTGAAGGCAATGAGTTACTCACATGCAAAGTTATTCACTTGAGTGTGGATCACAGATATTGGATTCGTGCATGTTAACATTTGGGTAGACCATAAATATTCACAGTGTTTATGAAAGTATTCATAGTGTTTAGATTCTCATTCTTCATGTTATAGCCTTTGAACACGCTGTTCATGCATCTTTTTGTGGCAAAAGAGGAATATGCAGCTGGATGTTCCCAAGAAATTATTAGGTGAGTTAGTATGCAACTTTCTGTAGTGAAGCACGTGCACTCTCCTCCCATCGTTTGCTATCAGTATTGCAGATTGAATTTTTTTATTTTCTTAAATTTCCACTCCAAAATTCCATGACTGAGCATGAAGCTTAAAAAGCTGTAGATGTTTCTGGAGTATGGTTGTTCCCAGCTCATCTTTTGGTAGTTTATGAACTACAGATTATACGGTAAAGTCACAAGCTATGCAGTACAAATAGCACAATATATCATGTTAGCTAAATACTCATTGATTGCTCGGGTTATTTGGTATTGCTCAGAACCTACTTATATAAGCAGAGTGAATTGCGTTTGGTGCTGCTTCTGTGAAATGTAGTTACTTTGTCGTGTCAAGCCAGGTCACATAGATGCCAGGTCAGAGATGTGCCAGCAGAGATCTGGCAGCTTTAATTTTTTCACTACTGTGGAACTGATATAAAAAGCAGGCTGTTTGAAATCTAAGTATTAGGAAATTGAGGGAGAAATAGGGTAGAAGAAACAGTAAATGATGCCCTGATTAATTGCATATCATATTATTTGTGATAAATAAAATGCTTTAATTTTTGAGCCATATGGGCTCTTGAAGTAAGATTGGAGACACTGGAGAAAAAAAAAAATCATGCATTAAAAGACTAGCTGCTGTTTCTGATTTGGTGTAGTGATGAAAGACTGAATACAGTCATGTTATTTGTCCAGGAAGGTTTTTATTGAAATACCAGAACTGCAGTTCATACTTCTCTTCATACCAGCTGATGAGAATTTAGGTAAGAATTTAAAACTTTTTTATTCTTAAAATAACGAGAACTAGTTTTCACTATTATACTATGTTGATGAAGTGTGGTGTTTGTTTGTTTGTTTAATATATTGAGAACAGTTACCATTTTCTAAACATAGAGAAACCACAGTCTTAAACTATCCTCTAATGGAAATCCCTTGTAAAAGCGGTTTACGTAGCTGCATGTTCCTTTCAGCAGTCTATCCATTTCCTGCAGTCTTAACATTTGCCAGAAATGGATAGGGCTTCAAACAGAGGCACAGGTGTCTCAGAAATAAATTCCCACAAGTTTTGTGAAAACGTCCGGCTGAATGGGGTCAAGAGATTGAAATGTGTTTGTTGTCTGACAGGCAATGACTAACACACCAGTCAGCCAGGCATCATACCTATGCATCAAAAACAGTCACATCCAGTATTTTCTCTCACTTGACCAAGTGAGTACAAGAGGAGAAGAGGGCTGTTTGTGGTAAGACATGGAAGGAGTGCTGGAGACATGGAAGGAATCTGGGGTTTAAATTCAAAAATCCACTTTCCTCAAATAGTTTTGCTTATAATTTTAAAGTTCAAATAATGAAGTTTCTGTGCTTCTCCTAACAGATTTTTATTGTTCACAGAGCCAGGCTTGGAAAGCGCCTTTGAAAAGATGGTAACTGCTCCAGGTTCAGCAGTGGATGCAAACTTTACTTTGCTTATGAGCCCCAGACATCGGTATCACCCGCAGCTGCATGTTCGCAAAGCAAGGTAATGCAGTTTTCTTGCTTCTACATTTATGAGAAGATCTCTCGAGCAATTTAAAGAATTCCCATTTTGATTTACAGCATCAGTATCTTAATTCAGAGGCCATGATTTTTCTTGATAACTTAATTAAGTAGTTGTTTTATGATTATG